GGCAGACAGCAAGAGAAAGGACGTCAAGTCAGAGCTTGGCTTGGAAGAAACGGAGGCGATCCAGGTTTGGGTTTGGCAATATATTTCTCCCACCCGCCCCTTCATCAATGAAAAGGTGAGGATGGCTGCGCCGTGTGCCAGGAAGGCAGTTCTGAAACCCTGCCACACTTCTCAAGTCACTCGAGCAAGTGTCAAAAGCAGGGTTCACCCTTTCACATTTTGCCCATAAATGGAAACTTTATTTTTTTTAATGTGGCACTATTTAAAATTTGCGTGAAATGCCACGGCCACGCGTCGGAAGAAGGCAGAGCCACCTGCACACAAAGGGGCGACAGGACAGAACCTGGCTGGAGAACCTAGCGAGAGAACATGGCAAGAGAACCTAGACCGGACCTGGCTGGAGAACCTAGCAAGAGAACATGGCAACAGAACCTGGCGACAGAACTTGGCTGGAGATCCTGGAGAGAGGAACCTGGCTATGATGATCACCTGAACATGTCATTCCTTCTTCGCAGATACCATCCACACCTTGGGGAACCCCTGGACCTGCTGGGGCTGGACCCCAACAGGGGTAGTCAATCTGTTAGGTGTTTCATACCATATATTTATAACTACCTGGGTCTTTTGGAGAAATTTATTTTTTCTCCCTTATTATTTTTGCTTGGCCTCAAAGGGGTGTAATTAGGGTTGGAAAGCTGCTAGAATCCAAAGAAGATTTTGCTCCCTCATCAGATCCAGATCCAATATATTTCTTGTAAATATTAAAAACAACAACAACAACAACAAAGGGGCGACGCTTGGGACCAGAGGGGGCAGGGGCCGGGGAAGCTGAACAGGGTGGAGGGAAACGCTGGGAAACAGGAGGGGTCAGGGTGCAGGGGGGCGACGACGGACGGACGGGTGGGGCTGGCTAAGCAGGAACATCACTGATGGCTGGGGGCTTCCAGGGTGAGGGCCAGCGGTCCACGCACCAGGTGGGAGGGTCCGGTGAAACGAAGGGGACCCCACCCAGCCAAGTCCGCTGAGGAGGGAACGCCGGCCGAGGGCCAGCGGGCAGGGGCACCCGGTG